TAGTATTAATAATAATAACAAAATAAGAATATAAAAAAGAAGGAAATTGTATGCAGAGAAAAAGACAAAATTTCAGAGATACTGGAGAATGATTGAGATAAAAGAAAAGAAAAGAAAAGAAATGAAATGAAATGAAAAGGAAAAAACCAATTTTGATCGGATGAAATATAACCGGTGCGACTAAATATTTTTCACATAAAAATCTAATAAGGAAAACAATGATACTGACGACGATGATTAAGAAAAAGAAACGAAAAGGGAAATAATGTTTCGGTCTATGGGGATTTATATTTCCTGTAACGTTAACGCTCTCTTTACCACGACATTTTGAAAGGAAAAAAGAATAGAAAGAAAAAAAATATATAAAATTAATGAATTTCGTACGACACTTTGTAAATATATTTTTGAAAATTTAGATTTTTTACGGTAAAGGAACAATTTTGGACTTGAAATCAAAAATTAACAAAAACAAAAAAAAAAACGAATGTCTGACAATTGATAAAAAATATTTGAAATCGAAAACGCGACGAACTTCGTTGGACGCGTGGGGGTTTAAAAAAGAACAAAACAAAAAAAAACAAACAAACAAATAAAGTTCCACATGAATCCAACAAAAAAAAAAATCATCCCTGCCTATGCGCTTTTTCCTCTTCATCTCGGACCTGATATATCTCATTGCTCGGTTTGTAAATTGCGTGTGTGTGTGTGTGTATTAAAAATACAATCCGAGACGATGACGATAATTATGATGAAAAAGAAAAAGAAAAATTATATATACATATATATATATGAAAAAAAATGTTGATACGAAATAATAAAATGTCGTGAGTAACGAGTGCGTGAACGAGAGACCGCGTAAAAGCGGTAAAACAAAATAAAACAAAAACTCGAAATATTTTTACGATGTGCGTGCGCCGATAAAAGAAAATATAATTACGAGAAGAAGAAGAAAAAAAAAGAACAAAAAGGAAGGAGGGAAGAAGAAAAAAAGAAAAAATGAAATAATTAATGTGCTTGAACGTTGATATACAATTCCTCACAATAAAAGATGAAATATAATATTTAATAAAGTAAAATATAAAATAAAAGTAATATTATATATAAATATATATATTATATTTAATTTATTATTAATGTGACCACACTAGATATGCTAATATATTAATAAATTATATTGAATAATTAGAATTTTTTTGGTTTCTAACAATATTATTTTCATCTGACAAGATACAACAAAAATATAATATTATTTTATAGATTTATATTGATAAACACACGTATCAACTTTTACCAAACGCATATATGCGTCCATTGCACTCAAAGGGTTAAAGAAATGAAAGCTTTAAGAGAAATGAAGAATCAAATTTTACTCGAGAGATACGTTAATTTTGTATTAATTTATATTTTTGAGAAAGAGAGAGATTGATTTCTTTTTTATTATTATTAATTAATTAATTATTATTATCTAATATCAATATTTTTGTAAGATTTTATTTTATTTACTACGAAATAATTCGTATTTTAATTTGAAATTGCCTTAAACGTCTAACAACGCGTATTTTATTACTTTTTAAACTCAGATCGTGTTTCTTATTCAATTTATAAATCCTTAAATAGTTTTAAAATGTAAAATGAAAATTTTCCAATATGTATAACACGATTGTACCTCTGTCTAAGAATAATCATGTATAATTTTATGATAACGTTTATTCTTGGCATATATTCTCCCCTGACATCTGTCTAAGATTAACTGTTACTACTACTGCAGTTCTCATTTCCTTTCTCATTTCTTATGATACTAGAAAAAGATAGTGAAAGACAGGAAAAATCTAGTAATACGTTTTGAAATAGGACAAAATTCGATTTAGATAATACAATTTTTGTATTATCTCTTTTTTTTTTTTTCTTTTAACGTTAGCACAATTGTTGAAAATTATTTAACGATTACCCCGTCGCTTCTTCTACNGTATAAAAAGCACTTTCACGAAGTAGATTTTGAAAACTTGACGAAAACAAATTTGTTTTCAATTTAACATATAAACACACACTTAAAAAAATATATATGTACAATATATATATATACATATATTTTTTTTTTGTTCCTCTCTTTTTTCTTCTTTTTGTTCGTTTGTAAGAATGGTCTACTAAGAATAAACCCTAAGTGTGTTTTTTTTTTCCAAAAAATTCAAAAATGTGGGTAGGGAAGGAGGAAAAGCGTTTATTTAAGAAAATTCAAAGATATTTTTCACAAAATTAATTGAACAACTATCATCAGCAACATTCTAAACGCATTTCCTCTTCCTCTCAATTCTTTTTCTTCTTTGATAGAAGTTTTATTGAGAGATGGAAGAAAAAAAAAAAACAAACAATGAGAGTAAACCCATATTCGTAATAAGATTTCTTCTTTTTCATTCTTTATATCTTTTTTAAGTTTTTTTTTTTTTTCAGTTGTTCTAGACGACTCCATAGTTGTATATTAAATATTATTATGCACAAGAATGATTTAAAAAAAAAGAAAAAAGAACTAAGAATATATTAACGCAAAATATATGACGGGGGAAAAAGTAAAAAAAAAAACCAAAATTGCTGCCATCGTCTGCATTTTTGCTTCGATCGCATAATTTTTAATACTAATTTATATTTTTTGTTTATCCTAATCATTATTAATTTTTCTTTTTTATTTCTAAAACGTACGAACGAACAAACGAACGAACGAACAAAGAAACGTTTAATAATAATGTCGCGTGTGTGTCTATTATATATTTATAATAATAATAATAATAATTATAATAATATTAATATTAATATTAATAATATAGTTATTTAATGGGATTTAAAAAAAGTACAAAAGTGCAGACGAAAGGTCGTCGAGACGAATACGATGATGAGAGAATTGACATAAAAAAAAAAAAAAAAGAAAGAAAAAACATTCCATCAAACAATCTTATTCCTATTCGTTCATTTATTTTTTCCTTCTTTTTTCTTTTTTTTTTAACAAAATCACAACCCTCAACCCTTATCATCGAACCCTCCCCAACTTTATTTTTATTTTATTCTTCGTCCCATCATTCATTTCGATATACCCTAATCAATTTTTCACATTTTCTGCACACAAAAATAAAAATCACATTTATTTTATTTAATTTCTTTTTCTATTTTTTTTATTCCTCAATCCACCCCCTGCCCGATTAAATTTCTATGTCTTTCTCTCAGTACACGTAATACATACACGCACAAAACACACAAACGCGCGCACGCGTGTAATTCGAGGGAAAAAAAAAAAGAAAAGAATTCAATGGAAAGGAAAAAAAAAAAAGAAATGAAAAAAGAAATGGGGGGGAAAAATATTAATAATTATAATAATAATAATTATACATTATTATATATTATAAATATATAATCGTCTCTCTCGAATGTGTTTGTGTATTTTCTGCGTGAGATGTGTGTGCGTGCTTCTGTATGTGTGTGTGCGCGCGTGTTTGTATAATACACGCTCAGAGCTATTTTTTTCCCCTCCAATCGAATATCAACGCGATTACTAAGAAGAACAAATAAAAAATCGATAATTTTCTGGTATAATTATTCTTTCGTTCTTGTTTTACAATAATAAACAACAACAACAACAATAACAACAATGCATATTTATCATAACCGGGAGAATTAAAGAAAATATCAAAGGAAATAATTAATTTATATAATGAATTTTTATGTACAACGTTCTATTGAGGATTGTATGTAATTGTATATATATGAGTACAATGCAGTCCATGAGTTTTTAAGATACATTCTCCATTTTCTACTATGAAGAAAGAAAAAGAAAAAAAGGACAAAAAAAAAGGGAAAAAAAAAAACAAATAAATTATTCTAGTTAATAAAAAAAAAAAAAAAAAAAAAAAAAAATACCGACCGATCTCTATAATATAATATATCCCATAGTCGATACACAAATAGTTCCTTTCCCATAAGTTGATATACTATAATAAATATCGCGCATTGAAAATAAAATTACAAGTTGAAAATTGTTCTAACACAAAAAAAAAGAACCAAAAGGGATAAAATTTAATCGATATATATATCTAAATTTATTTTTTTTTCTTTTTTTATTTTTAAATTTTAATTTTAATTTTATATATCACGATTCTCTAATATCTTTGTTTTAATTATTTTTTTTCTGTCGAATAAATGTTTCAAATCTACGACGAATCAACGTCGGATTTAATTTGTTCTTGTTTTCTACAGAGATACCGTACAATTTATTTCTAAATTTTCCTAATACATCTATTATATACATGTCGTATACATTAACGTTATCATTTATTTTGTTTTGTTTTTTTTTTATTAAGGATTGACTAGAGAATTTATTATTAATTTAATATTATCACTTATATAATAAAACTATATTAAAATATTAATGTATATATAATAATATCGACATTGGAGTTTCGGTATTATCGACTGCACCTAACATAACTCGACATTACCTAAATATTATCGACGGTGGAATATACAGGTATCATATTTTTTTCTTCATCTTGATTTAACTTCATCGATAATAATAAGTAAACTTATTATTAAATTCGCGTAAGTAAGGAAGAGTTCTCTTGAAATCAGAGGGGGGTTTTTTTTTTTGTTTTGTTTTCGTTCATTTTAAATAACATACAAAGTTTGCAGAAATTTCGCGACAAATTTTTAAATGAAACTCCACATTGATTGAAAATATTATTTAACAATAGTTAAGTAGGCCTCAAAGCACCGACCATATCTCCGAGTAATCTTTCAACACTGACGTCACCAACTGTGGGCTTGAAAAGAAGCTCGTGTAAGGTAGATCGACACAATGCTCTTGCAGGTGGTAAAAGTAATAATAAACGACCAACCCTTCGTGCATCACGTTCGCACAAAACTGCTACAGTTTGTTCTTGCAATGCTGATACTCGGCCAGATTCGCAAAGACCTCTTGATTCTGTTAAACAAATGAAACAATGATCCTGTTGTTTCGCGCGTTTATTTTAGAATAAATGGAATCAAAATAAAATGAACAAAAATAGACCCGAAAAATATGACAAATTGAATTTGTACAAATGTAATATATGAGCCGTTTATTTTGAAAGTGGCCTAACTTGATTCTTGGTAAGAAAACGCATATTATTTATTTAATAATTGCCATTATTTTAATAGGAATTATAAATTTAACACCTTTGGATAGACACTTAAGCAGCATAACTCATTGGTATTCTGTACGTATATTTTTAATTGTATTCAAACACAAACCCTTAAATATTTCAATTTAAGTATAAATGGATTTAGGCCATTTTCATAATAAACGCCTCATATATATACACATGTTCAATCATTTTTCTATATTTACTGTCAGACAAACTTAAATATTTAATTGTTTAAACGTACCACCCTTGAATAAAACGATTGCTTTCAAGCAAGCGTATTCCGAATGATCCACTCTAAGCAAAGAACATTTTGCTAATAATTCCCTGAGTCTTCTAGCTTCGTCTACCAATATCTCACGTCTTTCCGTAGACAAATCGGCAGGTACCAAATTATTTTCCTCAACGGGGAAATTCCATTGGGCTGCCGTAAGTACGAACAATTCGCTCCAAGATTCTTCCAAGAGTATCGTTTGATCGTGATAAGGTAACTGAACAAAACAAAAATATATTAGTATTATCAACAAAATCAAATGAATTCGTAATAAAATTGTTGAAATTATTCGTAGATCGTCGTACTTGTAAAAACGAGTGTATGCTTCTAGCCCATCTGACCGCGAAAAATAACAATTTAGCTGCGAATTCGTAAACGTTTTCCGTTGGCAAAAGTGAGAAACTTGACATCGTGTATTCCGTTGAAACTGGACTGATGATTTGTGGAATCAAACGAGTACCAACAAGTTCTACGAATCAAAATAAAATCTTATAACAATCATATTTATTTAACTGACATTTAGATTGTTTAAATATTACCTTTTTGTTCGATCCTAGTTTCAACGTTTGCAGCTTCTTCGGAGCTTGTAACTTCATCTTCCTTAGCTGTGTTAACCGATAATGATTCTGTTGACGTTCTTGGTAAAAAATGTGCTGAAATTGAAAGATTTGTTAACATTGGTCCTTGAACAATTCATTTTCTTTTTTTAATTATTATTGCTTACCAACGGTTGGTGCAAAAGCAGGCATTGTAGGTTTGAAAGGAAACAATGACGGATAAAGAAGTGGATGATACGGATTGTTTGTCGTGTGATAAACGTGAGGTAAACCTGGATAAAGACCAGCTGGAGTTCTTCTTGCAGCAGCTACCAAAGTTGAAGTACTTCTTGGTGCCCTTTCATGTTGGACCGCTGAAATCAACAAGATCATTTTCAATTCGATTCGATTTAAATTACATGGGTGTCCTCTGATATAAATATAATACGATTCATTTATTATTTAGAAATATATACCATATTATAATATAATTTAATTACGGATAATGAAGTTTCATAATTCTAACGTATATTGATTGCATTTATTTGAAAATTATATTTAATAAAAAACAAATCTAGATAAATTTTTCACAAATATATAATTAATCCGAAAATAAATGCATTAAAAATTTGAAATATATCGTATAATAAATATAATTATTATTATATTGATGAAATTGATCAAAAACAAAGTTCTAGTTCTTTTTAATGTTCAATTTCCCTACGATACATATTTATTAATAATTTTATTTTTGAACGAGAAAAATAACTAATTGAATATCGTATAATGTTTAAATACTTTGTCCAATCGTTAGAAAATTCTTGCCAATCGATGCGTATAATCAAAATGAAATTTCTCACTAATTGTAAGTGTGAATATAATATCTTATTGTCATTATATAAACATATATTTGAATTTATCATTTTCCCCTATCTCGTGTCAGGTTATTCCTTTATATCTATCACCGTAGTATGTTTTCTTCTTCGATTTATTTTTTGTCTTTTTTACTTCTTCTTCTTCTTCTTTTTATCTGCAAGAAATTCTGTATCAATAAACGTTGGTTGGTTGGTTGGTTGGTATTGGTCATAATGGCGTTTCTATACTATTTCAACACTAGCACCCTCGCTAATTGATATCTCTGAGCAATCAAGTGTTTGGATTATCGTTCTAGGCAAGGAAAACCCTGCGGATAGAAGTGTTTACAAAAGCTGAGAACTTCGGGCTGCTTCTGACACCGTACCGTTCCTACGACCATGTCGATTCTTACTCTCCTTTCACATCGAATTTCTAACCGAAGAGCATCGATATAGAATTTCATATGGGTTTGCTATCACATACAAACTATTCTTCAAACCCCTTTCCCCAAACCCAACCATATTTTCTCTCGTCCCGTTGATTTTTTGCTTTCTCATAGATCCTTACGTCAGAGTTTACTTCGTTAGAATATTATTTACTGTTCATAGTCATTTATATTTAAACAATATATATATATATATATATATATATTTATTTATTTAGTATTTTCTCTCGTCCAAAATTATAATTTTTCATGAGAGAAAATAAATTTGGGAAGATAAATTTTCCAGTTGCTGAAGAAGTCCCAATAAAGGGACGAAACGTCCAACTCAATTAAATAAAGTTCTACTTCTTTTCATGTCCAAGTTCCCTATGAAACTTTATCATCAAAAAAAATATATATATATATATTAAATTAGAGAAAAAATATTATTTAATATTCTACTATAGGTTATACCCAATAGTTACAGGGACACACCCTGTATATTTAGATGTATTTACTAGACCTCTCGTAGAACGCACTCTCGATGGTGTTTACTCGAATATTTTTACCCCGATACCATCGATCTGACAATCACAGAACTTCCTTGAATACTACCAAGTAAAATATGTCGATAGAATTTTTTTCTTCTTTTTTTTTAAACGTTCGACACAATACAAATATCCATGCAATTCTATTCTATTTTTCCAAAAAAACAAAAACACAAAACGTTTATCATTTAATTATAATAATATTTCTATCACGCAGAATTATTCAATAGTATATTAATATTTATGTAATTAAGTTTCTCGTTTGATCGTTCCTAAGAACGTTTAACGTTATAATAAGATAGACAAAATTGGATATAGAAAATAAAAAAAGGTTAAAATTAACTAATTGGTAAAATTAATCACCATCGATACGAAGCGTACCATCTCGTTTCATGTTGACCTGAAGACATTTTGTAAAACGACAGGCTTGGCATTGATTACGTCTCGAAACGTCCACGATGCAACGACCATTCTCTTTGCAAACGTAATCTAAATTTCTGTAATGAAAAAAAAGAAAGCAAGAAAGAAAATCATTAATTAAACAAAGTTTCTATATATAACGAATATAATATTGTAATTTTATTTCAAAGTAGAAATATATAATTAGCGTGTGTGTGTGTGTGTTAACTTAAAATATGATCAAATCTCATTTTGATATTTATCATTGTTGTTACATAAAACGATTTATATATATTTTGGATAATAATTGAGAAAATTTAATTACCTTGCGTACCTGCGGATCGATCGTTTAAAAAAACCACGGCACCCGTCGCAACTTGGAACACCATAATGTTTCCCGGATGCTTTGTCACCGCAAACTTTGCACAATGTTTCTGTACGATTGTTTTCTTCCATTGTACTTTCGTATTAATTAATTAACAAGATTTTCTATCTGTAACGAAAGACAAATTTCTATTGATATATAAAAATATAATTGTATACAAATTTATATAATATGTTTTATCAACACTTTTGTTAATCTAGAAAATTTATATTAGTTTCTAAATATTATATCATATCATTTATAATTTCTATTTACTAAAGAAACGTGATGGATTAGATAATCGTTAGATAGTATGTATGACATAAAGATTGACACGAGGATCGAGTACATATATTTTTCTATTTGATGAGTTGATTTTCATAAGAGATAGCTTTGCTATATATATATGTGTGTGTGTAATTGAAAAACCATCTTGTGGGTTTCTATTATTTTTTTTCTTTTCTTTTTGTTCGTAACACGCTTACGACTTATCATTACTACTCATTATTCGTCATTTTCAATGACACCACTAGTATCTAGTAGTCAGTTCGATTATTTCTCGCTTATCGTATCTATCCTAACTACTTTACTTCTATTAGAAAGTCAGACAGAGACAGGATGATAGATGTACACTATCGTTCAAAACCTTCAAATGACTGAATACAATTTTTATTAGAAATGGGTTATTATATTAAGACCAAATGTTCAACTTGTCAATTTTTATCGACGAATAAAAAGGATAAAGTGATTTATATTTTTCTCTAAATTTCTTGTATAAATAATCAAAAAAATATATGACATATATATATATATATTTCCCATAACTTTATACAATCATATTTTTGATCGGTTAATTTTGCCAATGTAAAATAATTCAAATAAATATCTGAATCTCGTAATATAAGATCATTATGAATATGAATAAAATGGTTGATATAATTTTGAACAAAAGAAAAAAAAAACAATTAGAATTTGTTAATATATTTGATATATCAAAAATAAAATCAGATCGTGAAACTTTTGAATAATAGTGTCAGAAATTTATATGTAGATGTAGATGTAAATGTATGTGTATCTATAGTTCAAGCATAGTAAAACCAACGCATATGTCTTTTGCATATTGTACGAGGTAATGAGAAACACGGGGAACAGTTAAACGTTGTATAAACGAATAATGCGAACTTCGATTCGTCGAAGCTTACGACTTCCTGCCTTAAAGCTCATTGTCGTAGTTATCGAAGCTCGAAAATACGATTTGATGGGATCGAAACTCGCCTAATATGCATTATATAATACTTTCTAGATATAGTCATATTGTGTGTATGTTAGTTTCGATCGAATCATGTGATAGTATAAATTATTATATAATACAACAATTTTTATCCTTCACTCTCGTTATTAATTAATTATTATTATTATTATTATTATTATTATTACTGCATTTATTTTAAATATAAAAAATATATATAGGTATTTTTTTATCAATCAGATACGCGTTCCGATAATCCAAAATGTTTTTCCTAAAATAATTACATGAATTTGCATTCGTTGCAATTTAAGTTAACATAAATATTATTTTGTTACGATCTTTCAAATATATTTCCATTCGTTGCAAAATACAATATATCGCTAATGGTAATAAATAATTTCGAAAATACTTGTATCAAGATTTTTTCCTATAGAATAATAATAAAAATATTTATATAGGAGATATAAATTACACGTGATTACAAAATATTTTCATAAATAATAACTGATCAACGTCATTCCTCTATACATTGGTGAACCCTACAAAAATATAGTGTTTTCATTTAATGATCTAATAAATAAATTTGAAAATACACGTATCTCAGATTGTATCCAACAAAATATTTCCCATAGAATAATAATATATATATATATATATATAGGAGATAAAACGAACGATACATTCGCGACAACCTGCTAATAATTTAATAAAATATTTTAATGTGATCCGATAAAATAAAAAAAAAAAAAGAAAAGAAATTAGAAACTGTTGAAATAATAAAAATTAGGATAAATTGTGTCTTCGAGGGAAGGTCATAAAGTCGAGAAGTCTCCAGGACTCGCGGAGTGTATCCCTTTGACTTTTTCAACCATCTCGAAAGCCAGGGTTGATTTCTTCCACCTCCTCTTCCTCCTCCTCCACCTCTTACTCCTCCCTCCCTCATTTTCTTCAGTCTTCCCTACCTATTCGAGTTTCCTATCGAAAGAGCCTTGGGGGCTATTGTATCGCGATCCTTCTCACACTAATGGAAGGTTAGACCATCTGTAGGATTCTCAGGCTCAATAATGCAACGGTGACGTGGAGCAACCTCGTCCTCAGCCTCGATGGCGGTAAACCACGATGAGAAAGAAAGAGAGAGAGAGAGAGAGAGAGAGAGAGAGAAAGAGAGTCCCGTTGGATGATAGGAATGTCCTCCTCTTTCATTCTGGAGAAAACCCTTAGGGCTAGTCTTTAACCAGAACCTCAGTTAAACTTATCATAATTCAGATTTTCTTCGATTTATTTTAACCATCTTGTTTTTTTTTTTCTTTCTTTCTTATGATCCATGAGATCTCATCTTCCATAATCTAAGACTGTCGGCTATTTATTTAGAATTTTTTTCCTTTTGACTTTTAATTATAATAATAATTATTATATGTATGAGGTTTACGTATTGTATTGTATACGTGAAAAGTGTGTAAGAGTTAAAAGTATTTATATATTATATAAAATATATAATATTGTTCTCTCGATATATATAATATAATAATAATATTTATTAAAAGATAATGATAAAGATGTACAATGTTAACGTTAAATCAAAATTTTGCTTCTTTCCTTTAAAAATGTTTCACACAGATATTTCTTCATAGGATTATATATTTTTGTTCTTAAACTTTCATTGAAAAAAAACAAAAAAAGTGAACAGTCACTCTTATGTCGTGACATAAATATCATTCGAGTATTATTCTCTCGTTGTTAGTTTTTATTTTTTTTTTGCTTATTTTTTATTTTTTATCGAGTTCGATATCCCTTTCGAGAGGTTTGGGTCTTTCGAAAATGTTATATTATATCTGTATAGTGTACCTTACACACAACTGTGTAATTATATGAGAGAGAAGGGTTTGGGGGTAGGAGGGGGTGGTTCGGGGGCGGATTATTTAACCCTGTTTGCACGTATGCGTGTCCTGTGTTACGTGCACGCACGTAACATATGTCGCGTCGCACAGGAGTCAGTCGGCACGAGCCACGACGAGGTTGTTTCACGCAAACAACATACTGTTAGGAGTCAGATTTTTCTCTTTCCAAATTAACCCCACATCCCCCCAACCCATCCACCTACTCCCCCCATCCAACCATGTCCCTACTATTATCCCCCTTTTTTTTCACGAAATACTATCGTAACTCTAAAAAAAGAAAAAAAAAATAGAAGTTACGGAACAAATTAAATTTCTTTTTTGTTTTTTTTTTTCATTAAAAAATAAATGAAAATTGTGAGAAAATATATCCCCGCGTCATCGATCACATTATACACTCGTATAAGTCTGTCACACTTGTGACAACCATAACAGCACCACCGTTGACGATCATGCTAATGTTTTTTCGATGACTCTGAAGCTTCTTCCTCGGTTAGTTCGATCGACACTTACGACGTGCAAAATGCGAAAGGATACGCTTAAATGCTTTAAAAAACCTAAACTTCCTTGCTTGACTACTCTCCATCTATCTATCTCTATCTCTCTCTCTCTCTCTCTTTCTCTTTCTTTTTCTCTTACACAAACATACACATACCATATACGGCATGCAAATGTCTTTTCTCTTTTCTTTTTTCCTTTTTCTTTTTTTTTTTTCCACCCCGTCACGTCACGTGCATCCTTTCGCATAAAAAATGCTGATCGATAGCATGCTACAGAGAGACAAAGGAACTTGAAACCATTGATATATATCGTACCTTAACAATAAACAACCCTTTCTTTTTATTTTTTATTTTTTTTTTTTCATCTCGTCATCATCAAAATCGGTAAGATCTTTTTTTCATCGAATTGATATTGCTCGTAGTTTTTTTTTTTTCGTATTTGAAATTTTTATTTAAGAGAAGAAAATATTTGTAACACTTTGCACACAAGAGAGAGAGAGAGAGAGAGAGAGAGAAAGATAGAAGTATTATTTTTATATTTTTATATTTTTATATTTATAATAAATTATTTTAAAATTAAATATTTTTTATTTTTATATTTATAATAAATTATTACAAAGAGAAAATTATTTTCGATTGATTGCTTTCAAATTCTAAATCACAAAAATTGATGGTAAAAGAGAAGAGTGTGTAATTTTAGAAGAAAACAGAAAATAAAAAAGGGATAAAAATGATTAGAAACTATAAACGCGTGTAACATTGTGCTGACTAATTTTCACCTGGATTTTTCTTTTATAACCCTCCTCGACATAAAATGCATTGCACGATGTGTATTTCATTGAAGTTTTATTATAATAAGAAGAATAAATCGTTTGGATGTATCTCTCGTAGATAATCGATCATCGGAGAAAGGGGTTTGATTTAAGCCGTGTTGGCTTATTGCTTGCACGAGTTTTTTTCGTAGTTCAGCCCCCCCTGTACACTCAGGTAGTTGTCGATGAATTTTTAATAAACTTCGAAGGTGCACCCACAGTTGCATCGTTACCGAACAAGCAAGCATGTAAGAACCCCTGACGTGACTTTTGTTAGGCAAAATAATCGACTGCAATTAATTGACTCGCTTACGATCGATCTAAATGTGTTTTTTTGTTGTCTCGATATTAATTAAAATTCAAACTTAAATAATTGAAAGAAATGATATTTTCAATTGTCGTAGAAAATTTTAAACAAACATATCAATCGTTGTTAAAATGCACATAGACATAAGCGTTATATTAAAATTAATTTGAACGTTGATACGCGTTTAATTCGATTACAATTTCAAATATTGAATACCAAAAAAAATCATGCGAACAATTAAAAATAATATTTATAAATTTCGAATGTGATATTACATTTTTAAAATCGATTAGAAATATTACAAATTATCAAGATAATATATTTATCGT